ACAGGTGTTTTGATGATTTGAATTGATGCAATGATGTCATGTTTGTGCACATATGTGGTTAACATGTTTTGCTTTTATTATATAGATTATGGCTTAGGTAAGAGCAAAATAAATATATTTTACTCTTAGCTATCATTACTATTTAGGAAGTGGGTGTGGTGCCGAAATCGACCCTTGCTACATCGACCAGATGTGATCCTTTGGAACTCCCTTCTGAGTAGATGTAGAGTTCTCCACTTAGTCTTTTTGATTCCAGAAACTTCCAGATCTTCTGAACGGAGAGCCTTTTTATCTCCTCCGGTTACATAATATTCTGCCCTAGATGAATACTTCTGCAGTGCATGAGTGGTCCGCACAAGCAGAGGATGTGCATGCGAACTCCTTTGACTCTACTTTTGTATACTTGTACTACTATATATTGACTGCTATGTATACTCGAAAAATAATTCAGGGCAAATAAGAATATATATATATATATATATATATATATATATTTCTTGAATTTTAATAGAAATTCATAATGTTTTAATTTAGAATATGCTTATTGTAGGTGATTTTAACACGCAGAAGCTTAATACAAACGTATGACGTTTCATCCTCTTTTACTCACAAAAAGAATTTTTTTTAATTCATCTAATATCGCATTAGAATTCTTTGAATTCCTATGTAAAATATTAGGCTGACAAGTAATTATAAATATTGATCAACTTCAACACTCTTTAAGTGATATAATTTATTTTTGCACATACTAATACAATTTTTGCCTAACTCTAGATAAAAGTATAATGTCATCAAAGTCAATAAATAGTACAAGGATGTGGTGAAATTGTCGCAGATCTAGATATTATTTTACTTTTAATAATAGTCAGAATAGAGCCTATTTTAGGTTGAGATTTACATATTGGAACGTATAGCCTAAACACATATTTTTCTTGAGCTATGGACGAGGCCAACATCTTTATGTTGTTATTACATGCATTAAAATATACGTAGTGTAATTATACCTTTTGTAAAAAAATAAAAAATTTCATGGTAACGGGCAATGCGAGACGAGATTAAAATAATTAGTGCCTTAAATAAAAACCACACAAGTCGTCAAGGTTCTCCCGAAACCTCTTCTCCCTTTTTAGTAAACATAACTAACTATAGTCTACGGACCTTGTGAAAGAAGCCATTTCCTGAAATGAGTTAATTAAAATTTAATATTAAACTCTATTTGTATGCCTGATTTGTATGTTTGATAATAGCGAGCCCTTCTGACCTGCTGGCGTTTATGGATTCGATTCCCATTGGATGCAAATAATCTTTGTTAATATTGGTCAATATTTTTGTGTAATTTTTACCGTAGGATATTAGATCTATATTGTAAAAAGTCACTCAATAAATTCTATAATTAATAAAATCTGGTTTTCTCTCTCCTAATAATATGTACCTAAGACGTTATTTTAGAGAAAAACATTTGGAAATACATCCTATGATCTGTTTTATTTCATTAAAAAAATTATAATTCCTACTGTGTAAATTTTGACATTCCATTATTTATTCAATAAATCTTTAAGAGTAATGCAATATTTAAATGCAATATAATAATTCAAACCTTAAAAATTCTAAATAAAAATACATTCATATCGATACATCCATTTTTCTAATATTGTGTTTTTAAATCAGTTGTTTTCATCAAGCTTTGATAAAAAAAATGAGCTCAAATTTTGTTTTATGTGGGTTTGATGCTTGTGAAACGTTTAAGTTATAAAATAAATGCCATTATGGTAGATATTCTAATAAATAAGAAAAAATCAGAAAGGTTCATACACGAAAACTGTATTTTTACTTTTTCGTTTTGCACAATGTACAATAAATTAGGCTACTAGCACCAATTTGAACGTGAAATGATTAAAATACAATCACTACAATCTTCAAAGTACAACAAGAAAAAAAAATCGAACAAGTGCGAGAGTGAGTGTGCGAGTTACGCACACCAATTTATTTTTTGTAATTTAATTACAAATTTATGGTTTTCGGTTTTTCCCCTTTATTTACCTATGCTATAAAACTAGGATTGACGACACACAAACCTGCCGAAGATGCATTGAGGCAGATGAAACGCCACTCCCATCTTCTGGGGGAGTGTGGACCTTTCATGCACAAGTGCAACTTTCATCTTGGGAAACAGTTTCTAAGCTTAGAAGAAATTATAGAGTGAAGCAAATCCTCAGAGTATTACAGCGGCAGGGTTTAGTGGATTACTCTATTCTAACATGCGGCGATCACAATACACGAGAAATGGTCGAAGTGATACTTATAGCCGCAACAAAGGAATAAAAAAATATGCAATAAGGCATATTTTTTTTATTTCTTTGTGCTTCTTGCCAAATTTCATAATTCTAGGTCAAAGGGAAGTACTCTATCGGTTTTTATTTTCTTGCGAGCAAAATATGCAACATAAACGGCTGTCCTAAGGGATTGCAGACCTGAGAATTTGATATGAATTTCAACTTGATACCTCCATGCGTTCCAGAGAAAAAGGGCTTTGACAGACAGACAGACGGACAATGCAGTGAGCTTATGAGGGTTTCCTTTCCTTTTGAAGTATAGACCCCGAGAAACTAGCCAAGTTCAAGCCCAGTTTACCTTAGGGCCATTGCTTATAAATAAATAATTCATTAATAATGTGTGGTGCTACGTAAACATACATCGTCTTACTTTTTTATATGAATTTGTTTTATTTTTATAAATTACATTTGTTACGAGATGTAGTCAGTCCAACCAATCAAAGTAAGCACAGCGATATTATATTCAAATAGATTGCATGCTAACGATACTATACGATAATGATGATGACGAAGTTTTTACATTAACAGTCTCTACAAGTTTTACGGTTTCCAGATGCGTCCATATAAAGTAAGAGCAATACACACCCATACTAAGATATGCCTTATTAATAATTATAATTAAACTATGTTTAAGTTTAAAGTAATTTAGATAGTAGTTTCATATAACAAAAGAAAATTGTAAATATTATAAAATTCCTATACTTAAATTGTAAATATGTACGTTAAAATAAAAACTTTTTAACAAAAAAATAAAAACCGACTTCAAACAAAAGCACTAAAAAGTAAAAAATAACTGATTGGTAGTTTTCATTTACTATACATACCTAATCAAATATTTTCGAAGTCGGTGTGCTTTGCTTTGTATGGGCTGGCACCGATTTCGAAAATATTTGATTAGGTATGTATTTAATAGGTAGGCTTTAATTACTTAGCCAAAGCGCACCGACTTCGAAAATATTTGATTAGGTATGTATAGTAAATGAAAACTACCAATCAGTTATTTTTTACTTTTCAGTGCTTTTGTTTGAAGTCGGTTTTTATTTTTTTGTTAAAGAGTTTTTATTTTTCTCTTTTTAGTGTAGACAGTAGTAGCAAAGTAAGAATTCTAACGTGTTAGGCTTGTCAAATTAAACAAAATAAGCCCAAACTCAAAGTATCTACTATTAGCCGTTGAAGAATTCCACCTATCCACCTTCTGGCCTTGCCATCAGATCAGGGCAACAACACCGAACCACTGTACTATCAACGGAAATAGAAATACTTGCAAAGTTTCAAGTCAATATGACAATTAGAAGTAGGTTAAATTCATCATTAGTTGTTTTTCCACCTTTGGGGGTTGTATTTTTTTTTGAAATTTAAATGGGACCAATCTGGAAGTATACCCTTTCAAACAAACCAAAAATTGTCCAAATCGGTTAATAAATGACGGATTTCTGAGGTAACAAACATTAAAAAAAGAACATACAGTCGAATTGAGAACCTCCTCCTTTTTGAAGTCGGTTGACAAGTTGTTTTATATTTTTGTTCATCGCACCAATCACGTTTTTTAATATTATAAAGAGGTAAAGTTTGTGAGTTTGTGACGTTGTAGGGGGTGATCTCTGGATCTACTGAACCGATTTCAATGAAATATGGTAAGGAGATAGTTTCTGACCCTCTGAAGGACATAAAATAGGATCATGCCTTAAGGGGGTGAAAATGGGGATGAAAGTTTGTATGGGGAACCAAGTTAGAGACGAACTCGAGCAAAGCGAGGGTGAGTCGCTATTATAGAATATATTTGTCTTTATGAAATAATGTTTATACGATACTGTTTTGTTATACCTATTCCATATGTCTTGGAGCTATTCTACTCTAGTTACACGTTTATTACGGAAAGTACCTACATTTGGCTAATGGGAGCTGTGATCAAGATGCTATCTGCAGAATAGCTATTATGCCATTGTTTATCTCATTCAATGACTAAAGCGATCATTGCGTGCTTCCAGTGTTTAGTTTCACTCAAAACGCTTCTTCCTTGTACCATTTGTTCTTCTACTATTTATTTATCTTATTTGAACATTCTCTTATGTTATGATAACTCTATAGTTAAACTATATAGATTAGATTTAACATTACTTTGAATCGCACAAAAAATGTGATAAAGACTGTTTAAAACTATTAACTTAAAAGAAATATAAGTACAGGTAACTAAAAATTATAAAGATTATTATAATAAGAAAATGAAACTGCTAATAAAGTTGTAATCGTCGTTTATTGCACTTTATGTTCAAACCTAATATTATTTTACTTGGAGGCTTAATTTTTTTAATAATGCAAATGCATACAAGTTACATATCGCGCTATTCTACGTAAGTATGTAGTCTAAGCATTGCGCAAGCTACAATTTGCTTGTGTATTAATTAGAAGTCATTATTTCCTTTATTGATATCTATACAATATTTTTTATAATATTCGCGTACAATTTTACAACTCAACTTTAAAAAGATTGCGTTAGTATAATTTATCTGTAAATATTAATAATAAATATACTTATACAAATAATATTCAGTAATTTAATTACGTTAAATCATCTTTGTTAATTAATATAAAGAATTATATTTATATTATTTAATTTCCATCACTTATACCGGTTACGCCATGAATATTTTAGTATAGTTATGCTTAAAGTTTATTGAGGAAGGGGGCAATGGAGGCGAAATCTTCACACTCAGGGATCAATTTGCCTTTGAACTTGATGCAGGATTCCGCACATAGGGGGCCCTCGAACCAAGCTCCAAGCATCTTCTTGCACTGAGCACAATTCTCGAAACATATTTCCATAGGGTTATAGCCCATTGCGATAGCTGGGCTAGCACTAACATTTTCCATGCACATAAATACAGCCATAGTGAGGAGAGCAAAAAAGGCGAATTTTCCAGACATTTCGATGTAAGACTTTCTACTATGAATGTTGAAGAACGTAGCTGAATGTTGTATGTGATATCTAAGTAAATCGCAGAGGGTTTTATACTAGAATGTGGAAAATATTCTAAATGAACCGTATCTATAAGCCATGGGTGGTTGCATTTTTCCATTATCTAAATGTGTTCTTAATTAGATATTGATACAATTTTCCTAAGTGTTTTATTAAATACAGTCTTGACAGATATAAGGATACGAAATAAAAACCTTTCTAGTCATATTCAAAATCAAAATTAAATTTATTTAAGTAAATTTTTACAAGTTCATATGAATCGTTAACATAATTTAAAAGGATTGAGTTTTCAGACATTTTAATAGATTTTTCTTAAAATGTTGATGCTTTTATTTGAGCCTGCTGTTATAATTAAAGATTTATTCCAGGGCTGTATCTGCTAACAATAATGAATTACAATTAAATTTTGATATAGAGTCAAATAAGAACTATTTTATTCTTCTATCATACATTGTCAGAGGATTTCCAATTTTATGTCAATGGCACTAATTAAGTTGGATGGAGTTGGGAACTTATACATATAAATTAACGAGGGCTGCGTAGCGTGCTGCAAATTGGATGATTGAAGTCTTTTTGTTTGGTGCTATCATACTCGTATGCAAGTCTGAAGAGTACCGCATTCGTAGCATAAATTTGAGCATGTCGTTACTACGAGTTTCACTATGATTGACCGATTTTTAAAATAATAACAAAAAATATTTTTAATTTAGAACCAATGTAAAATATTATTCGTTTAATCCCTCAACGACCGCGGACACGCCGGAGTGTCAGTTAACAATAGATTTCTTAGAAATTTAATTAATTTCTCGGAAATTTACCTGGAGGTGTTAAAAATGTCGAATATAATCATTATTTTTAAACATATTTTATGTAATCTACGTTTTATGTCAGTGTGTAAATACTTCCCTTAGAAAATAAAATACTTATGAGGCGAGCAATAACTATTTGTAGATAATGAATTAAATATATACAACACATAAGTGTTATTATATGCATGCACAATTTCATAACAAATGCTTTTATTATTTACGGAAAGTGCCAATAAATGTCAAATTCTATTTCATGAAATTGTAGGAATTGAGGTTTTTCTTGATGTGCAACTAATATTAAAACAAATATTTATATATGAGTTTTACATTGTCTAGGTAGAATATAGCGAAAATATGCATCATTAAGATTTCATAAACATAATATATTATATTAAGCAAATAGGTGTGTACAATCTGGATACTATTTATTAAATACAAATATAGAGTATACAATATTACTAAGTATATGACAAGTAGATAAAAAATGTTATTACTAAACAATATATTTTGATATGATAACAATTCAATTTAACATCTATTACCAACCAACCCTTTCGCTTAGGCCTTTTTTTATATTAGGAGATGCATTTACGCATACCACCTGTAGAGAAAAAATGCTACTACGATAATTAAATATATGTACTGTATAGTACATATTAGTAGAACCCACGGCTTCGCTCCCGCTAAAACAATAAACTAAAAAGGTAGGTTTCATACAACCTTTCATCCTCTATTTTATCCCCTTATAGGCTAAATTTGGAAAAATTCTAAAACATGTACTTATTTAATTGTATCAATGAGCATTAATATCAAGTTTCGAGTAATTCTGATCATAATTTTTTTTAGGTTGTATTATAACGTGTTTTCTCGTGAGAATGACATAATCTCTCGCGATTAAAAGTAGCGTATTTTGAAAACAAAAATTAGAGCCCATAGTAAAGACTAAAAGTTAATGTGAACCTAAAAACGAAGTTCTTTCAGGCATGCACATATTGTTGAGCTATTCGAAGTGAATTGATGTTGCTACTAGTACTTTTCGTGTTTTGAAAAAGTATATTTTTTTAATGTATTTACATTAAAGTAAAAGAAATATGCGTATTTTCCTTATTCATGTTGGCTTTTTAGAAAACATATTTAATAATTATTCATTGTTTCGCTTACATGTACAATGTATCACCGCGTGCCGTTACACATATTTAGTGATTTTCACCGCTCAGTTGTGATACAAACAAGGGTTAAGTTCAGGGTGATTATATTTTAAAGTAAAATATAAAATGAACAACATACTGGCTAAGTGTGAATCAGATTCACGTTAGAAAGAACTAGCGGCTCACCCTCGCTTCGCTCGGGTTCGTCGCTAGGTACGTTTTAAATAGATATAAAAAGAAAAAATCTTTCTTTCTCACATTTTAATTATATGTTTTAATACTTACCTATTCCGAACTAAGAGAAATCCAAAAATTAAAATATCATAAAAATTGGAACGCGGTCGAACGGGATAAAAAGTATCCTATGTCCTTCTCCTGGCTCTAACCTACCTCCCTGCCAATTTTCAGCTAAATCGGTTCAGCCGTTCTTGAGTTATAAGCGAAGTAACTAACACGACTTTCTTTTATATATATAGATATAATAATTGAAATGTAAGGAAATAAGTAACCGCCCGCCAAACCCGATTTCTTGTTTTCGATTTAGGGCGGGCGGTTACCGCGCGGGACATGTTATAATGCACAAGTGTGCGCAAAAACAAGTGCACGCTCTATTCTTTTAACCCTCGAATGGGAGGACAGATTTATATGAGTAGGGAGAAATAAGGCGCTGGACCCACACCTTAACATACTGTCCGATTTCGAGAACACACGAACTGTTTTGGAACGACCCGGGACCTGAACCCAGTATCTTACGATCTAAACCTATATGCTAGCCACTAGATCAGCAAGGCGAGAATTTAGTATAATATATTCATAGGCACACATGAAGCAAGACTCATAATTAGTATAAAATATTTATATACAAAATATTCTAACAATACCTTTATTAATGGTAATAAATAATTAGTGTATGACTTCCCATAAGAGTTATAAGAGTAGATTATTTTAAAGTTGAAATAGGACCGACTTCAAAGTTTATTGTTTTATAAAAAAAAAAGAATTTAAATCATATTATTTTAAGCTGTAAATGTTATGCGTGGTTCTAGTGAAAAAACGTACATTTGAGAGATCTCTTTTTATCGATTACAATGATTCAAAATGCGCATTTGTACCATTGTATTGTATACAGCCCTTACTTTTTACTGCATGGGCCTCCCTTCAATACGAGGGGAATCCCCACGTTGGCGAAGTGCGGGTTGGCGGACTTCACATGTCTTTCGAAAACTTGCTAGATTCTCTCAGACATTCAGATTTCCTCACGATGTTTTCCTTCACCGTAAGGCAACTTGGTAATCATGTCAGAAATGTTCACACATGATAATACTCGGGATTTGAACCCGCTTCACTCGGTTTCCCAAGCGAGCGCGTTACCACTGGGCTACCACTGCCTGTTGCCATTTGTACAATACAGGGTATAAAATTAGCTCAACAAAAATTTAAAAACCAAAGTTTATAGATCAAAAATCAAGCTATTAATAATAACTATTACAATAGTGTTTTTAATCTTGTAGGGGTTAAAAACGTTTTTGTTGAATCTCATCCACTTAAGGAGAAAAACACTTTTAGCCCGAACAAGAATGATTTGTAAAGAACTTTTTATCATATAAAAATCTTGAATGATGATTTTACTTGTCATGTTGTAAAAAATTTTGGTGCTCTGCCTTTCCTATTTGCATTTTCTTACTATTTTTAGCAAAGAAAATATCATTATATTTAAACGTTTCATTATACATATAATTTTAATTTAAAATTTTTTACAATGGAATGGAGAGGTTTGAAATTTCCTCGAGCAAAATAACTCGTTGGCCGATCTAGGTTAGATGAATATAAGTAGATAAGGAAAATTCTAGGAAAAAATGAAAAAAACAAAGATTAAATTATTATAAGTGTAAGCCCTTATATTAGTGATGGCCTTATCTTGTGGCGTAAATATTATATTTTGTTTTTATAACTTTAAACTTAATTGTTTTTATAATAGTCTCTTGACTCTGCGTACTTAGATAGAGTTTAGAGAGAAAAAAATATTTTATTATTGCTTAAGAAATTAGTAACATAATTAATGATATTAAATTCTATATTTTTTACTCAACTCAAAGGAAAAAAATGATGTGATTATGTTCTCCTGACCGATTCCGGCCACGGCGGCCAATCTTATTGAGACTAGCCAACTGCGCAGGAGATATTATAGTGCACAAGTGTACGCACAGACACAAGTGCACTCTCTATTCCTGTCACTCTCATACTCTGGTGGAACGACCACTCGACACGACTAGTGAGAGTTAAGGCGCAGGACCGACGGCTTTACGTGCTCTCCGAGGCACGGGGGTGTAACACCGCCAACTTCCCAACTCCGGGCTGTTACTGAGGCTTAATGTACAGAAAGACTCAATAACTAAACTTGGCCCGACCCGGGACTCGAACCCAGGAACTCCGGGTGTGCAGCCGTACATGCTAGCCACTACACCGCCGAGACAGTTAAAGGAAAGAAATATTAATATTATAAAATTGACGAACCATTTGGCTCAATGGTTTAACATCAGGGTTGACATTACCAATTTCTACGTTACAAGGGTTGCGCATTCGATTCGCAAAGGAGTAAATTTTATTGGCTTTTTATGCGTTTGTCTAGTCTGGCTTCTATAAAATGCGTCATTAGGAATCTTTAACATTTAGCACGATTCTTACAATTTACTAGTAGTTAGAAAGGCCAAACGGGTCATACCGAAATAATATGTTATTTTACTTCTGTCTAAACCTGCTTACACTTTCTTAGATAAGAAAGCTAGTGTGTTATTCACATACTTTTCAATCAATTTTTATTTTATATTTACACATACATAAATATATTGACTATCAATAGAAAGGTCACTAGCAGTCTCAAGGAAGTAAATGAAAAGGCCATGGACAATGTAGATATACTACAGAAACTCATATTTGAAAATTTATTGTCGCCTTATATATCATATTTACTACTATACCTGCTAGTACTCGTACTTATGCAATATCGATAATACAATATATACATAATATTTTAAATGACTACCTACTACAAAATATGTTTTATTTTTTGTATATATTTTTAAAAATTATTCTATTTATAATAATTAATAATTATGCACAGATAACATTTATTTACTTATAAAATGAATTCTAATATGCGTTTGTTGGTTTGTCATTATTGTCATTACATAGCAATATGGGCCGAAATGTTCAAGAGCCAGAGAGAGCGACGAAGGGGTTTCTATTATTTCGGCACATCGATAATCGAGTAGTTTTAGTTGGAAATTATTCAATATGCCAATGGTGGCCCAGTGGTAACGGAACCGAGTGGAACTAAGTGGAGTGGAAACATTTGGCCAGCGTAGTGGACTATGGCCTGATCCCCCTCGTATTGAAGGGAGGCCCGTGCCCAGCAGTAGGACACTGAAAAGGGCTGAATACATTTGAATACATTATTTTGTAGCAAAACCCAAGAAGAAGGCATGACGTCGTTTCTGGTTTTTACAAGCCCTATTAATGAAGGTCGGCAATTAAATATTCTATGTACCTAATTGCACTTTTATTGCCATAGGAAATAATAAGAATTTACTTAATTAAAATATTAATAAAATAATGTGTGAGTAATTAGTAATTACTTGTAATGTTTAATTAAACTAAGAGCCAATATGATTTTAAGTGTTAATTTTAACCGGTCGTTATGTTTAAAACTGTGTGGCAATCGAAGACGAATTATTATTTTAAACCAAAAATGCTGAAAAATTCTTAAAACATGCACGCGTTCAAAACGTAAAAAGTAGGTGTTATAACTAATTTTGTTTATAATATAAACTGCTTTCGTTTCTAGTTGACCCTATTTAGTAGTTTTCCTATGCTTGATTTATTTCATTACAATGCAATGCAAAAGTTCAAATACTCGTGTCAATTTCTGCGCATGCGCAATATTGATGTTATGAGTTGAAAGTGGTCAGCAGATGCAATGATATTTAATATCAAATGCATATCATCGTATATATTGCTTTATAATACATTAGTATTAGAGTAGGTACCTATTTTTTATTTTGGATACCAAAGATAATATGTTTAAAACAAAAAAAATCAAAAATATACCTTTTTAAGGATTTAAAAGAGATGAATAAAATAAATTATAATTATTAATTTTTAGTTATGTTCTTATTGTATATAAGGCTTTTTACCTTCAAAGTATGAATTTTAGACTATGCTTAAAATATAACTGTCGCTTAAATTGACCAATGAAAGCCTTTAAGTTCAGTCTTTCTGTCAATGAACTTTTAAAAAATTGTGTAGGTTAAAAATTGTGTTAAAAATTTAGTTCGTTATTTTTAAATTTCAGTATTTACAATAAATTTGATTAGACAAAGGAATTGAGAGAAATGTACTTTTAAAAAAATGAGCAATTTATTGCTAAACTAAACAATTTATTTACGATGTTTTATGGTATAAAGCTTTGAATATTTACAAGTAATATTATGTCTATTTCAAAACGACTATAGTTGTTACTCTTTCTTGCGTAATCGGTTAACCTCACGGTCGTGAGTAAACGCTAGTGAACTCGGTAATAGTACGTAGTTGTAGCGACATTAGTCGTTTCCTTGCTATTTGAGCATCATATGAGCTGGTTTCATACAAAGTGTCACGTTTTTGGCATTTGATTCAATGAATTATTTAGCTATTAGACAATTCGTGCAGAAACTTCTTATACTCTAATTGTATTTTTTCACTCAACGTGCTTTAGTAAGTAAATTATTATTTGATGGGCATTGCCAGAAAGTAGCTATTGAGGATAATTTTTTAAAAGTACCTACATAATATTGTGTATTTAATAGTTTTGATATATTAAAAAATATAACTTAATGGCTATTTTAGACCTTCCTTTTGGATACAATATTTATAAAAAAAAATGCATTTTTCTAATTTACAAAATAAATAAATTTTTCGTTTTCAAATACTATGTATTTAAAAGTAATGAATGCTGCATCGCTACGTTTTTTCACTCTTCCTAATCTTCGCTCGCTAAATTTAAATGAAAACCTAACTCTTTATATATATATATATATATATATATATATATATTTTCAAAATGTTAATTAGGTTGTTATTTTTTAAGTTTGGTTGAAATTATAAGTACGAGTAAAAATATGTACATGATTGATGAAGAAAGCTCATAATTAATTAATTTGCTATTTATGATAGCTTATCTATGTGTTATATTATGGCGCATAATGAAAAAAATATAACATTAGATGTAATATGCACGAGAAGAGAACGAGAGAAAGAACACAATATGTTATTGAGCTCTTATAATTTTATATTCCTACAATTATTTTAAAATTTCACTGATGATAGAATCAGACCATAGTTAAAGTAAAACAAAACAAACTATAACTATAAATCATACTAGTACTATATTATTATAAAGAAAGTTATATTTGGCTATTAGTAAATAAAGGTTAGGAAATTCAATTTTTGAATAAGTAAAAAATTATATTACTATGATGTGTTCGCTAGCCCTACTAATATTATAAACGGAAAATTTTGTGAGGATATATGTACATACAAATATATGTTTCACGCAAAATCTACTGAACGAATTTTGATAAAACTAGAGTAACCTTATCAGAGTAACAAGAATTTATAAAGATTCTAGCGACTCACCCTTGCTTCGCTCAGGTTTGTCCCTAGGTACGTTGTAACGGTTAGTATGAAATACAAATCATTGAATTTCTCGGCTTTTCTGTACTATAATATGCATGTATTATACATATAAACCTTGCTCTTGAAATAGTCTATCTATTAAAAAAACCTTATTTTTAAAAGCATACATAGGTACAGACAGACAGCGACTTTGTTTTATACTATGTATTGACACGATACGTTAATGTACTACGTGGGCGAAGTCGCGTGAAATCGCTAGTAAATAATGCGTAATGTTTGTTGCAGTGCTAGCGGGTGGGCGCGGGCACGGTGCCGGCGCGGCTCCAAGCGCTCTCCGACGCCGGACCATGCGCCGGGGCCCAGTGCGTCCGCGCCGCGCCGCCCGACCGCGCGCACCATGCTCAATATGAAGCTGAAGGAGCGCCTTGCGCTAGCACTGAGCGCGTTTCTCGTCCTCTTCACACTCATGCTCATAGTCGACATACAGATGGACTATGGCATATCCGGCCATAGAGTCCCCCTACATGGTAGAGTCAAAATAGCCGACGACTCTGATAAAGGACGATCAGCATATATAGAGTTTCGGAAACGATTCCTACAGAAAAGGTGAGAGTGATGTGTTTTTTGTGTTTTGTGGTTTAGTGATTTTATTGGTACGTAAGTACATGTGGATTCATATATTTTTTTAGTAAATTTCGCGACAAATATACTCGTAAATATTTTTTTTTCAAGGATTAAAATTCTTCTAAAATGCGTATAGTTTAAAATATGGATTTTCTAAAGTAGTTATTTATTCAAAATGTTAGTTAAAAAAATTATTTACATTTTGTTTTTTGAAAGCTAAGCAAATATTTTTCATCGTAATCCCTAAATTTATTTTTTTGTATTCTATTATTTCTGTTTGAGACATTAGTGAGCCGTATCACTCTGTTATCGCAATATGTTGAATGGTTTGACAGCGTCTTGCGTGATAACTGATAAGAAAATGTTTTCTCGTTATGTAAACAAAACATCCTAATTAACTCATAAGATATTATTAACAAATATTCTTCTTTTATTTATGTCAGTATTCCATACATAGCTTCCAATAGATAAATTTCTTTCAATTATCAACCGACTTCAAAAAGGAGGAGGTTCTCAATTCGACTGTATTTTTTTTTATTTATGAAGTTGATTATTTAAACAATTTACAATATCTTGATTGATTAATTCATTATAGTACCTTATCATTCGTTATATATATGATCAAATTTATAATTAAATATCTAATTAAGTAATTAGCTTATATTAAAAGAAACTTTGTTATGAACCAATATATCAAAATAGAATATTATACTAAATAAAATAGAGTAGAGATTTTTGTAATTTTATAATTAAGTTATTTATAACACTATAACAAACTGAATATCACTTCGGAAGATCGCATAGTACATAAGTTTAAGATGTAAGTAGGTATGCTAATGAAATTTTAAGAAAATATTAGCTGTACAAATAAAGATAATTTCATCGAATTCCAACGAGGTTTTTACGGAATGTGAGCGCTAAAAGACGCACGGACAAATGTTTTATAATGCGTTTTAAAAATATTTAATATATAAATTGAATCAGTTTATCGTTACTATTTTATATTAAAAATTATTTCAATTTCATTAAAACAAATTTGAAATTTCTGAAACGTATATAAAAATATTATAAATGAATACATGAACTTTAAAAATATTTCAAAGCTTCACGATAACAATCTAGGTATGTTTATATATCACTGTATTAAATGATAAGTGCCATATAAAATTGAAGAATAAATGAAATAATAAGTAAAAATTACAAAGTTAAAATTTGCTTGTACATAATCTAACCTTGTCACCTCAATATGCTGCATAATTCATAACTCTTGTCTTACAGGAGGCTCGATATGGATACAAATTTATAATAATACACACTATTTTGTTTCTAAAAGCACTCTATTCACGCTTGTTTGTAAAGTTATTTTTCTTTCATAAATGATTATAGTATTATTATTCTATATTTAGGTTACATAGAATATTAAATTATTCTGATATAGAGTCGACGAAGATGTTTAAATAAAGGTTAAACGTAATTTGGAAATTGGATGTAATTTGTGACCTTTTGTGCTACTTTGATTATACAATTACTATATGCAAAAATATATAATATGATCCTCATCCAACACGTGTTATCCGTGATAACGGACATTGGAAAACACAGTTCAAAAGTGAAACTAATCACTATAATATTTACTGCTAAGTAAGACGATAAAAACTTAAAAGAACAATAAAACTTTTTTTTTATATTTAAGTTTTATTTCAAGATGCCATATAATAGAGCATACATAATATTAATATGATTAATTAAATTTTAAAAATTAAATGATGTGACTTCGTTTAACACTATTTTTGATTATTACTAACATCATTTTTGCTCTATGAAAAAGACAATAATAGTAAATTAATGATACAGTGTAATAGATTTCCTTAAACTAGTATCCGCCCAGTATAGTGGCTTAGATGCGTCCAGAATTATTATTGAAAATTTGATAAGAACATACATACATACATGTGTATATGAATTGATTTATGTATATAAAAAAAATACTGTTGCCAAAAAAAATTGATAACATTAAAGCTCGTCAATAGCTACTAAACCAAAAGAAAGAGAATGGCTTGACAAACAGAGGACTATAAAATACAGATTTTTTTGTCTTTGCTTATTTATACACAGATACAAAGTGCTTAGCAGCATGCATAAAATTGTGAAAACTCTACATTTTACATGTCTTTATAATATAAAATTAGGTGCTCTTACAATCATGTCCAGGGTCGTTATACATCGGAATTCAGTTACATATAAAAATCACTTTTCCTATTCTTCCTATCCTTCCGTGTATTATAAACTAAAATACTCTTGCATATTTTATTATACACAAAACAATGCCTAAATATCACTTCTATAATATATGGACTTATACTTGCTTAAAAATTACCTTAGATTGTACATGGAATTTAAACTTCACCATCCAATTTTTCCAGACAATAATTTAATAAAATACGTTAACAAAACTGTAGCAGTAAAAAAGTAGGAAGTGGTTAATCATAAAAGAATGAAGAAATGAAGTCATGAAATCGGTATTTCGCGGTGTATATCGGAATGAGGGACTGGCTCAAATATTTAAGACGTTAAGTTCTGATATTTTTACCTTAATTTATTCTGAATACAGACCAAACTTTAAAATAAAATAAAATATCCATACTAATGCGAAGATAACTCTGTCTGTCTGTCTGTCTGCCTTATACCTTTGCTCGATTTAGACGAAATTTGGTATGGAGATAGTTTGAAACCCTGGGAAGGTTAGTTTTTACCTCGGAAATCATTCCTTAAGGGGACGAAAAGGGGGGTGAAACTTTGTAGGAGGAATTAATCATTTCTCAAATAAGGGATACATATATAAGGTCATCATAAGGTATCTAGGTACGAACCCGAGCGAAGCGAGTGTGAGTCGCTAGCTTATTATAATTACACTTATACATACTTTATAGGTCATTGCTTATCATATACGGATTAATTTTTAAGTAGAATGCCACTAAGAGTCTCCTGCACCAAAATTCTTAATTTGATTAAAAAAGCCTACCCATAGACACTCATGTAATGAATTTAAGGTACCTTGTAAATTTATCTTCCTAATAATTATAAATTAACAAATTCTTGTAAGTAATATTTGCTTATACACAATAAAATAGTACACAAAATAAAAGCACAGGTATAATTTTTCTAATTCTATATTTACTTATGTTATTTAAATCAAGCCGCATACAATTCTAAAACAATAGATGTAAAACATATATTTATTTTGTATATTTTTGGACATAATCTAAAGATTATTGGGTAATCTATAATATTGTCCTTTCCATACCGTGTGATCGATTCGATAAGCCCATAGGGCCATTAAACTTACGGTAAATGTTATGAACTAGGCAAGTTTGTTGAATATTGTAAATATAATAAACCTTAAGTTTATAAAAGTTTCGTTCGTGTATTCAGCCCTTTTTAACGTCCCACTGCTGGGCACGGGCCTCCCTTCAGTACGAGGGGGATCAGGCCATAATACACCACGCTGGTTAAGTGCAGGTTGGCGGACTTCACATGTATTTCGAAAACTTGCTAAGTTCTCTCAGACATACAGGTTTCCTCGCGATGTTTTCCTTCACCGTAAGGCAAGTGGTAATCATGTTAGAAATGATTGCACATGATAACATCAGAGGTTAAAAGTTTACTGAGAAGTAATTACTAATTTTATAATACAAACAAAAAACATACAATTGAATTTATAATATGATTAATAAAATAAATTAACATCAATTACTCAACACTGCAAACAAATTTCGGCCCTTCCAAATTTATCGTAGTCTTATCACAATCTACTAATCAGAAATTATCACACATACCTTTTTATCAGAACATGAAGTCGTGTGATTAGAATTCCTATTTTTATACTGAAATGTGGCACAGAATAAGTTTTTAGACATAATAATTTTAGGTATAAGCTACTTTGCGTTTATTAATCACAGTGATTGAATTAAAATTACATAATATATTTCATTTTTTCTTATATAATATAATTAACGAGTTTTAAGAGATTTCCTGCATAATTTTGATTAAAGAATCTATATACATATAATAAAAGTGTAATTGATCGCTGTCTGTACATGGAAGATATTTGAGAAGAACTATTATTTAAAAAAAAATATTGTTATCCAACCTAACCCAAAACAATAATTAGAGATTTTTTTCTATGTGTTTATCTGTTTGTTTGTGCAAATGTGCGCGCTTATCTCAGAAATGGCTTGACCGATTTGATTGCGGTTCTCACTTATGTATTATAGTAAGCTCCACTTAACATTTAGTATTTATTTTATTTCAATCAATTCATAAACAAAAAAGTTATGCAAAAAGTCAATTTAAAGAATCACCTAGGAACTAGCCCGAGGGTAGTGAGGGTGAGATTTATTATTATTTGCTAGTATGTACAAATTCTTATCTTTGAAATTTATTGATCTTGCCAATACCGAACGTATTGTTATTTGTATGTACGTCTCTAAGAGATATTGTAAAGTATATATGTACGTGGATAAAATTAACTTTTGAAAGCATTATGACTATTGTTATTATCTTTCCTAGTATTGCAAATATAATAATTTTCAATTTTTCCTTCTTCGATGCAATACAGACGATCGAACGTACAAACGAAGTACAGACGTAAATTTTTCTGTAGAGATTATGAGTGGAAATTGCTGTAGTTTGTCGTGAGACAATACCAAGGATTAAAACTTAGCTGGGAAAGCTTCTTTTAATTCATTTTAGAGAACCCTTTATGTGGTATAATTCACATATATCAAGTTTATGAGCAGGAATATCTATTACGAAAATTAATATTTTACACGCGTATTTATACCTTTATTTGAGTCAAGCCATTAAGATTATCAAATATTTTATTGCTTTAAAGAAAGTGTATAACATTTAAATTAATAATATGTACTTAATATAAACTTTTAACAGATTTGTTCTATAATAATATAGCATTTAGTACATAATATCCATGCGATAAATGTAATCACCGTACGAAATAAGAATGCATCGCAATAGCATCGCCTTCAGTCGCCTACAGTCATATATGACACTAGCTTTAAGTATTAGTTGATTTAATTTTAATTATGAAAGTCTACTCACAGCTTTATTCGTTATAGAAATGACAGCTTTTGTTAAAGAACAATGTATTAATTAATTTGTCACCTCGGCTGAGCAAATATGTAAAGTAAGCGAAATATGAGTTTGCCACTCAATGCTTTTATGCGATAGAACAATGGTTGTGTACAATCGAAACGTCATATCTTTACAATAGGCCAGCAAACAAAAATCTTAAGAATTAATGCTTACACCAAGGCTGGGCTTTATTGTTTGCATTAATGAAATTCTAGAAGCTTTGTACATAAATCGGTGAATAGACAAATGTTATATATTCATAGAAAAATTGAAGTGTCTGCGATTTCAATGTTTAGTTAACCTCAATTAGTTTTTGTATGGTACCAAAATTTCTTCTCTTATCAAACAAAATTACTGCTCTATCTATCTATCTATCTATACCTATATCTTTTAAAAAGCTGTTTGTTTGTACTCTCTGATCTTTAGGCAGTATAGTCAGCAGACCCATTATGACAGAAGCCGACGACTTAGTGCGTATTTGTTCTACCGACCAATACTTATTAATTATTATTATACTTCACAGCACTAGAGATTGATTTCTTTTATTAAAAAAAAACCTTTACTTCTAAGGATTTTAAACAATATGTAATATAAACATGCATGCAAATTTTTTTCGGCTTTATCAAAGTAAAATTTGTATTTAATACCAACAGAATCGACATTTAAAAGTCAATAATTCGGTATTAAAAACTCTTTCGGTAAATTGATCATTCGGACAAATAAGCACTGAGACGACGAAGTATTGATGGTAACACGTGAGTGTGGTGTTATATAATTACCACGAAGATTAAAAACTACGTTTTAATCAAGCATTAATCTCTTCAAAAAAACAAAGAAACACACGCATACTTTCAACTTGCCCATTTAAAATATTATTATGATTTTTCTTTAAATGTTATAAGCTAATAAATAAGTAAATTATGTTAATTAACATAATATATGAATTAATCGACTATGAAAAACATAGTACGTATAAAAATATGAAAAAAAAAGAACTGGCAGAGAACACTTGAAATAGTGATAAAACGCCCGCTTAGGTCGTTTTCATAAAGGAGAGGTACTCAAATGCGGTGCAACGATATCCTCGTCAATTGAAACCGATCGGCGAACTTATTAAATTTATTAAATAAAAAGGTTCTCCTTTAAGTCTCATATAAAATTCAAGAAAACATTTTATTTCTTATCATGAAAAATTATATTTAAAGTAATTTTGAATTATAGCTAAGAAGTAATACTAACTAAGTAAATATTTTTATTCTGTCAAAGTAGGGAGTAATTGAAGAATTTAAGCTAACAAGGCTAACTTAATCACCATATATAATTAAATATGTTAACTGTTATTTCGTACATTATATAGCAGCTTATATGAAAATATGTATATATGTATTATGTAAATTTACATTTGCATCGAAACGGAACTTATTAAGACATTGTAGCTTTGTGAAACGTCGGAACTTTTAACACGTGCAGGCAATCTTCATTTAATTATGTTTTTATTTGATATTAAACATCTTGTTTACTTCAACAAATTCTAAAATTAAATCTATACTAGTCTATATTATAAATGTGAAAATTTATAAGTATGTATGGATGTTTGTTACTCTTTCACGCCAGAACGGCTGAACGGACCTGGATGAAATTTGGAACAGATATAGATTATAGTCTGAAATAACACATAGGCTACTTTTTATTCCGGAAAAATATAGGGTTTCCGAGGGATAAATTTGTTTTGGTTCATCTAGAGGTGAACCCGAGCGAAGTGAGGGTGAGCCGCTAGTGGATAATAATTAGCTAGTAGATAATAAAAGCACAATGTTATAAATGTATAACAGAAATTAATAAAAAGCTATTATAACAATACAAAATTAAATATTTTGTATTTTGTTTTGTTTAAATTCAAATTTGAAATAAACAAAACAATGGAGTTGAAAAGATTTAGGCATATTTCCAAGGGAAATATTTCGTTAAACTAATTGGTATAAATCCATTGAAGTTTTCCTTAAGACTTTAAAGAGTGCTTATTCTGTCTTGCTATTTATTATTCAATGATGAATGAATTTCCTACAAATGAAATAAATACCTTAATATTTATATAATATATTATATGTATTTATTTAGTCTACAATGTAAACTTTGATTAAAATAATTATTTTTATTTCACAGTAATGGCAGCAACAGTTCTAGAGAATATGAACAGTCAGCGCCTAGTGAGACAAGTGGAGGCGACGTTGAACCTCGCACACCGTCCACACCGTCAGATCGTTTTGAGGACTTGCAAAGAATATTAGTTCTCCAACTTCAAGGCAAGGCTGATGATAATCCTGTTGTTATCCCACCTCATCGGGACTTGAATGTCTTGAGGCCGGAAAACCCAACTATTGGCGAAATGGAGGACTTAGAACCTAGGTAAGAATATACACACTCGCAAACTTAAGTACTTTTAAATTGACCCTTTCACACGACTTTAATATAATAAACTATATTATAGTAACATTATATATAATAAATTAAATTAATAATTATATATGAATAGAAATATAACTTGTAGGTGCTGTAAATCATCTAAGTTTATTTTGGCATATATATACATATACTATGTCGTGTCATTGTATTAGTTATTTCGAACGACACTTAAATATCAAGGAAAACACAAATTAACATAAGAACCTAACTAAGAAATATTAATTAAATTTGTTCCACGAAAAACGACTCTAAAAGGACATTACAAGGAAATTTTCGGAAAGTTGTCGACAGCTGACATCCACAAGTACAATTTATGGAGCGCTGAAAGTCGCCGAATTAAATTGTTAGTTACTCCGTTATTGCTACAATTAAACTTTGATAAAACGTATATTGCAGTTAAAGATTCAACCATTCTGTTTCACTTTACATAACTTGCTCGCTGAATTTCATAAGTACCTTGTGGAATTGGCCTTAATGTTGGCTATTTCACTTTAACTGTTATCCTTTTGAACTAAATAGCTTATGTATGTTTTATAAGTTTAATATTAATTGCTATGACTTAAAACTTAAAATAGAATATACGCCATTCATCATAGCAAGAATAGTACACTGTTCCTACATCCTAAAAGCCGTCGCTTTTCATCTCCAGCGAATAACCCGAGCTGAGCTCTGAAGTATGCATCAAAACTAAACAGGTCGCCCAATGGTTGACGTAATTTCACCAAAGTAAATATTAGACCAAATCTCATAGGAACACGGCGAATGAAATGAAAAATATCACATGCTCGATTTTTCTTACCTCTTTATTTTTCTTAGTTGTAAAGGTTCTCGATATTACTATAAAAATTGTATGGACTGATTCTATAATGTAGCAGACAGGGTGACCTTTTTTATCTTGTAAAGCGAATTTCACCAGCTTTACCAAGAATCTTATTTAAAATCCAGTTACGGAGATAGGCGCGGGTCTTTGACAATAAAACTAAATGGAATGAATGCATGAAGGCTTCCTCAAACGCCGCTCAAGATATGACGAGACCTTATAGCTAAATTCATGTATCACACAAAAAGGGTTGCTTTGATATATGAATAATTTTTTGCCTTATTCTTAGCTCATCTAGGAAAATGTGTAATAAAAAAGAAATTCGTTAAGGTATTTTTCTTAACTACAAATTTAAGTGGCTTACTTAGTAATGCATAATAGGTTCTCTGTGTATATCTATATGTATCTCTATATATATTATTTGTAGGTCTATTTGTAGGTACTCAAAACGGATGCTGTAAAAATAATATGATGGCATTAGTAAAATATCTCATATCGAATGATGTTTGATTGATTCAATCTGATATAAATCATGTGAAAGTGATTTATGTGTGCCAAAACACATTTATCACTTTATATCCTGTAAAAAAATAAAAACTATTACCTGCAGAGTAAAAGTTGCCAGTACAATATATCAAGTTAGCCATTCAGAATTCTAAACGTCCATTTGTACTAAATCGAATCGGGCGTTTTGAATTCCCATTTGACACGAGCACAATTCACACCGAAAGAGAGTCAATAAATTTTATAGCAGACGGCTTGATTTCTAAATGCAGGTTATCGGGGCATACCACAAATCGAGAACGTTACACGTAGGCTCCTTAGTATTCAGTTCCGTCCTGCGTTGTGTCGCCTGGAGTCTCGGCTCTTCTAGCAACCAGCTCACGTCCACTTATGTGTTCCACGCAGCCAAAACCAACACGCCGCCGGAAAATCTTCCATGTAAATCTCGACATTAACGATCAGGTTTAAGAGTGTGTGCTGCAAATTTAAAGTACCTCTATTTATATTCTATTGTCCTGTTGATCTAGTTATTTCAGTCTTACCATGTACATCCGCCTGCGACTTTGCATCTAGCTTAGTGCATATACCCGCACTACTATATGACAGATCGTATTATATTACTTCATGTACATACATACATATATAGCACTAAGTTCAAATGGTGTAAGGTCAGTCATTCTTAATGATAAAGATATTCGATATATGGTATGTTTATTATACGCGTACAAAGTATAAATAGTAATTACATATTTAATTAGGTACACGTGCTACTTGCAAAATAATAAAAGATGATGAAAAATGTTCCAATAATACATTAGATATTCTAAATTAGATGGTTTTTTTTCAGTGTAAATGCATCCAATTTAGAAATGTTCCAGCTGAAAATAGCACAGCATGAACTATATGAAGATGGAGAGCCGCTGGTCGGGGCAATACTTAAGGATATGTCCACTGCGCCTATACTCCACGTTGGTATGTAAATATAATATAAAACTATAATAAAAAATATTGCATTAATAATATTGAAATAAAACTTATAGTAAAACTTGTTAGAAATATGTTTAGTTTATAATGAAATATGAATGTAAAAAAATAATAAATAAATATCTAGTTCCGTGGTAAGCTTGCGTTATGGATACCAGATAGTTGATACACTACACAAATATAACTTTAAATACATATTATAAATAGAAACACTCATGACTGGAGTACAACATCTCACAAATGAATGTCCCCAGTGGGAGTCAAACTCGCGACCGCTGCCACAGCAAGTAGGATCACTACAAACGGAGCCAAACGTGCCACCCGGCTTCTGTGCATTAAAATATAAGAAATATCTGAAAACGGTTCTTCATTTACAATAGATACTTACTTAATTCTATCTTAGGCTCATGGAAAGTAGAAAAAAAAACATATAACAGAGGATGCAATTGTTTTCTTATACAATTTAATTGTATAAGAATTTTCATAATAAATAGCTTACTCGTGGTCATAATAATAATTGACATAATGTTTACAATATTACTGTAAGTAAGATAAGTCGCCATAAACACTAAACAACTATGAAACTAGTTTATTCTAAGTTAAACTAGAACTCTCATTTAAATATGTATGTCATATTGCAAAATTTAACAATCGCTACTAGAACAAGTGGAACAAGTTACCAGTATTATACGATAAATGATCACTAATTTTAGGAGATCTGAATACCAATCCCACTAAATTGACCAAACTAATATTTACTAGGTAAATGTTACGATAAAATAGCCCCAGTCCATATTTTACCCACCCACTTATTTTATGCTCCGGTGATTTAATTCTTACGCATCACAGATTCGATTCTGGTGTATGACAAATATTTGTACTTATTTAAAACTAATTTCAAAGGCTCGAGGTATGCAATTGTTGTTGATAGAAAAATTAATAAGCCAATTAGAACAGAAGAAAATCAAATATTAGGTTACTAAATGAAGGTTATATTTGCGGTAATACTATTTACACGATAACTGCCCTCGAATTGTTTCAATTCTAAGCAAATGTTAAACGTAATATGTGATAGCTATTTAGACAAATATTACGAAATTCAATATATACTTTGTAAGTTTCATCAAGTACGTACGAAATGATATGTATATTAAATGAAGTCGGGTCTGAAATCAGTATAGGGTTAGGTCGGACAATGGTTCCAACAATCTCGCCCTTTACTTTCAATTGGACTTTAATATTTAAAGCACTTTAATGGATTTCATTGTTAAAACCTCTATAGTTCAACCCTATTTTTAGTTACATAGTGATTATTTATTATTTAATTCCATTGCCATCGATTGGGTTCTTGGACAACTTTCAAGCATAGCCGTACTTAAGAATTCTTATTTGTCTTAAGGTCGTTCTACAATTTTAATTATAAGTTGCAGTGGTAGCAATAATAACAATAATATAATTCAATAGTTGCTAATAGTATCTTATTATACGTAATCGAAAAAAGTATGTAGAATTAAACAGCCAATCAAGTACATTATAAGATATTAATATATATATATATATATATATATATATATATATATATATATATATATATATATATATATATATATATATATATATATTTTTATATATTTATAATAATTTTTAACCTCTTTATAATACGAATAGCTATTAGCTTCAACTTCTTATATGTCATAACAGCAAAACGTTAACACCTCCAGGTAAATTTCTAAGAAATTAAAATTCTAAGAAATCTATTGTTAACTGACACGCCGGCGTGTCCGCGGTCGTAGAGGGATTAATAGCATAAAGTTTGAGAGTTTTGAAACTTTTCCAACTATCTTGAATAATATAGTTGGAAAAGTTTCAAAACATATATTATACATATATTATAGAGTTACTTAGATGTTGACTTACCTATACACATTATAATTCATTCAAATCAATTTAGTATATCGAAAAGGAAGGGTCTCGGTTAGGGTGTGTTCTGGTATAATTAAGCTTACTTTAACCACTATCATTAAAAGGAAGTTTAGTGGGAATAAAAAATCCAGTATCTACTTTATATATTATACCATAAACAGTACCCAAAGTGAATTTGATATATAAAATAATAAAAGTTTGCCTTAACTTCTTAATTATATACATATAGAATAATTTTTAACGAGCTATTACATATATGTAGATAAAAATTGTGGTTGTAGAGGTTATTCACTAACTACTGAGCCTAAACCTACTATTTTTTTACTGATAAAAGGTTACGCCAAACTTCAGTAGCCTAATCTTCTTACTGAAAGCGCAGCCGACGGCGAAAAGTATTACTTTTACAATAATGACGGTAAATAGGGTAATATTCCTTTTGTAATCATTTTTTGATATTACTATAGACATTAAGAAGAAACCTATTTGATATTCATAATTTTGTGCAGAACAAAAAGAAGGCGGAACGCAACTGAAACTCATCATCGACTATCCAAACGGTGTCCAAGCTTTATTTAAGCCAATGAGGTGAGTTATATTGTTCAAATTATTAATATTTCTATTTATAGTTTTATTGCTTCCTAGCGATTTTGCTCTTAATTTAGACAAAAAACGTATACATTAAATATGATATATTGAAACAATTATCTGCATGATCCAAAGAAAAAAATCGCTGTCTGTGAAATTGATCCCGCATGGTTTTGTTTAAAATCAACGTAGTATTTAAATGGAGTCGTAAATAATTTGTAAATACCATAACCAAATACTATAATATGGTGTACTATAATTGACTGTAGTTATTTTCATGGTTTAATTTCTATCGAAAGTTAGCCTGATAGTTTAGTTGGTTTGATTTTCGTAAACAAATATTTTTGTAGACTTTTGTGATTGTTTCCGAAACTTTATAGTGGCAACTGGCATCCCTTTGCTTTGGAAACATCAAAGTAGCAAAGCATTAGAAGGCTCTAGTTATTACAAAGAGCTGTCTTTGTAGCCGTTATAATTGAAAATCATATCAATCGTAATCAGTATAATCATTTTTATTAAAGCTGCCGCTTAATTGACGTCCGGTCGTAAAAATATAAAGTCTTTTGTAGTATAAAGTTATAAAAAGGTATATACAAGTGTTAATCTTTATATATATAATTCTTCTGTGAGTGTGTATGTCACTGAACTTCTCTCAAACGACTGGACCGATTTTGATGAAATTTTTTGTGTGTGTTCAAGGGGATCTGGGAATGGTTTAGATTCACAATTTGAATAATAATTTTCATCAAAAAAAGTTTGAAATTTTCAAATTAAAGACGTGTAGACAGGACAACGTCTGTCGTGTCCGCTAGTATTTTATATGAATTAATCTGATGAATTTAATCCTAATGCATTTTAAAATCTCACATCACGGTGGAACAGATCGATGTGATTTTTTGTATAGGGATAATTTATGGGACAGATTACCATGGTTACCTTTTTATCTCGGCTTAGATGATTCTCGTGAGGTAAACTCTCAAAGTAATGCTAGTTATTTATAAATGATCATAATATTAACTAAGGCGCTTAAAATATAGTCTTATAACATAACTTTGTTGTCTAATAACAGCTTCTAAGTTTTTGTCGCCCACAATGTGCCATAAGTTAGTTTAAGCAGAGTAGTTTCGAGTGCACGATTTGAAGTTTTGTCACCGTGTTGAGAGCCTTACGCGTTGGTTCCATTCACGAAAGTTCGAGAACATTCTTTCACATGATCGGCTTAGAGACTTGCCCACTCTTCAGAACTACAAGTGTTATTGTAGTGAGTGGGGAGTTTTTCTAAGTTTTGCAACTTTTCCACCGTTCTTCTCGTAATATTATTGAAGTCCTTTTAGGCTATAGCTTAAGTACTTGAACTAGTTATATTTAAGTTCAATATGTAAGAAGTAAAATACGAAAATAATTAAAGAAAAACCTCTTTTGTACATTTTTTATTATTTTTAATGTTGAAATATTTCGGTTTCAATTACCAGAACGATAGCACGATGATATCGCCATCACTCCAGAGGGACAACTTGTTTATTACAAATGGCTTACGTATTAAATAACGAGACCTCTTAATACTTCAGAATGAATTTGAATTAATTATTTTAGTATTTTTTGGTAGAAGTAATTATTTTTGTATTAGGTAAGCTTAAGTTACAGTAAATAAGCTTGCCTGGCGGACAACTTTTTGCTATATACATTTCATGAATAACTCTATAACGGCATATTTTAATATTTATAATACTAATATGAATAATTTTGTTCTAGAAATATATAAATTTCTAAAATAACTCGACTGTTGGTTGCTTGATCTATCGGATATCTTCACACATATGTAGTTACTAATGATTGTCTCTACAAAATAAATTTATTATGTGACTAAGCTATACAAATTTTCATCCCCGTTTTCACCCCCTTAAGTGATGATTTCCAGGAGAAAAACTATCCTATGTATTTCCCAGGGTCGCAAACTATCTTCTTACCAAATTTCGTCTAAAACAGTTCAGTAGATCCAGAGATTACCCCCTACAACGTCACAAACTCACAAATTTACAAACTCACAAACTTTACCTCTTTATAATATTAGTATAGATTATAATTTCAATCAGTGAAGTTATCCAGGAGGATCACCATAATTTTGTGTATAAGTATAAATAATGCTTATGTATTAAAATATTTTAAACTAATAACTATATGAAAAAATATTATGCATATTTTACGGCAGAGTGTTTAGTGTTTCGTCTTTATCTAAGTAATAAAATTGAACTAGCAAGGTTTATAAGAAAAATTATATACTCGAGGGGTTATCCCGGTGACAGATCAAGGGGCTGGTGATAGCAGCTATTCGCTTAGGGACGATAAATTTCGATAGTCGATAGTAACCCTTCCGTGATAGGTTTATAGTTCGAACAATTTATCGCATACCATGTAGATATAGATATTATAAAATGTTGTTTTTAAACATTTAACAGAATATAACAAACAAAAATAACTTAATTTTTTTTTTAATATTTTACGTTGGATTTCCTTAATTTCTTTATAATACATATTATTAATTTAATTTTATACTGGTCAAGGTAAGAGGGAATTACCCTTATTTATTCTCCAGTAAATCAGAGTTCATTGATAATAATAATTAGTTGACTTCTTGATTAGATACCAATATGCATAAAATATACAATGATACATATTGGATGAGCTTAGATTGATAATGACAAAACTTTTTAACAAAAAAATAAAAACCGACTTCAAACAAAAGCACTAAAAAGTAAAAAATAACTGCTTGGTAGTTTTCATTTACTATACATACTTAATCAAATATTTTCGAAGTCGGTGTGCTTTGGCTAAGTAATGAAAGCCTACCTATTAAATATATACCTAATCAAATATTTTCGAAATCGGTGCCAGCCCAAAAGCTCGGACAAAAAATTGTCCAAATCGGTTAATAAATGACGGAGTTCTGAGGTAACAAGCATAAAAAAAATACAGTCGAATTGAGAACCTCCTCCTTTTTGAAGTCGGTTGAAAATTAAAATAAAATTGCAGATATGTGGGTAACATATCGATATCCCTTAAGCTATATTTTCTAGACTTCCTCTTTCAATTCCAACATATTTTATCCTTTAAATAACCTTATATTATAATTAATTAGTATTTATAATAAGGAGATGGTTCATTGAATCTTATCACGACCGAAGCGCTAATGGATGCACGATCTTGATGTACGGCTGCCATTATTACAATTATCGACCTGAGAGACGTTTGATACAGACGTCATTATGATATCTCATACTGAATAAAAAGTCGTAAATAATCTACGCCAATATTGCTTAGTAAATGCATAATGTTCACACGAATTACTTTAATATCACGTAAAACGTTATATTTAAATTAATACTGTTACATTTTATTTAATACTTTTATTTTATTCATTTTTTTTTATTTATTACTTAATAGAACTAATAGTGTGAATTTTAAAACTTCTAATGTGATATTATAAATAGCAACATATATAAAAATGCAAATATTCTTTAGTTTGCTGGTTCGTCTTTCTTTCACGTAACAGAGTAACACAATCTCGTATTTCTTTGAAATGAAATAGTATAATTAATTAATAATCATGGAGTGTATCAACAAAGAAGAGGCTGTTGAGGCTGAACTGTTGGCCATATATTTGTCAATTCTTTGCTTATTGCGTTCAAATATCCATAGTATCAATTCTGAGAAGAAATGTTCAAAATAACATAACTTTTAAGATATTCGTACCGGTCTAACTAAAAAGTTAATAACTGCATCCCACATCGACTCTCTCTTTCTATACAGGCAGTAATGGGAGAATTATATTATATATATATATTTCTCTTTATTCTACATGGTATCTGTTTTAACTTGTATGTTTTTTTTCTGGTACATAAACAAATAAATAAATTCTAAAGAATGCTAGTGAAATATTTTCTTTATTACACACAAGCTTGTATATTATGTAACTTTTTTACAAATACTATTATTTATATTGTTAGCCATAAAAAAGTATATCAATAAACTGTTGTAAATATCGTATTCGAATATTAAAATTTTATTTAATCTCATTCTTTTGCAACATAAAAAGTTACATTCGTTGTTCTATCAATACCAGCAACATACAACATCGAAATATAACGACATAAATGGAAGAACAAATAACTTTTTGTGTAAATAAAAAATGCATAAAAATTTAACTATTATTTGAAAATAAATGAATGTTGTTTCATAAACTTGAATAATATCGCATGTACGTAGAATAATAGATCTTTTACGTCGATTTGATCCAGTAGAGTCGCAATAAATCGGATGACATCCAAAGCTATACATTACCTGAATCGCTGCTATCTAACCAGCTTCACGATTTAAACGATTTAAGCGCCTTTTAAAACGTTTTGCTTCCGACGTATTGATATAGCACACCGTTTAATGCGGATCGATTATGTTGACGGTATTTTTAATACGGGACTGCGAAAATCGTCTAAGCTAATTTTGTAATTATTTTAGGACTTAAATGTCCGATAATTTTAATACTAATATATATATATATATATATATATATATATATATATATATATATATATGTATGTATGTATATTTCAATTTAGAGAATTATATGTTAATTTTAAGAAGGAATAAGAGTTCTGCTGGTAAAGGTACATGGGCGGCGGCAGAATTATTTCCACGAAGATGCATCTGCTTCTTCACATTAGACTACTAACTAATTAGTCTTTAAATGATTAACTTTCTAATTTTTGTTCATATCTTAATTATTTTCTTTTTTCGCAGATATCTAAATTTAAACAGGGATTATACTCATACAGTTTTATTTCTTTAACTTTTTCTATATATTTTCCTTCATGGCAGGGGGATGCAAGGGGGTGCCCTTGCACCTCCCTCTCAGCGCCCATGAATAGGTAATTGATACGTTCGAAGTGATAATAACTTGTAGGCGTTTTAAGGATAAATTAAATATTTTATTAAGTATTACAATAACATATAAGAAATATTAGATAATAATAAAAATCTTTAAAATTATTTTATTACTAATGTGTTTTCTTTGGTTTCTATTCCACTCTCGATAGCTAACATGTTTTAGCATTAGGTCGTTAAGCACGTTTATTAGATTATCACAGTCGATACAAGTTAATCAAATAATCAGTGGTAGAAGGCGTGCTTTATCTCATATCTGGCACTTGTCGCCGCTACTTTTCCACTGCACTCTGCGGGAAAAAAACTTAAGTATACTTATCTCCGCGCTTAATGACCAAACGAAGATTTTAGATTACAAAGTACTTTATAATTTTGTTACTTGTATAGGTATATTTTGTAAGGCTTATCGTGATTTAGTACTAAAATGTTAAATCTAACTAAATGGTAAGAACTACAAAGAAGATATAGTGTCAAAATACATTTATGTGTTATCTTTTAAATGTAATACATATTTAAATGCTTTTGTTTTAAGAACTTCTTGTTAAAACAGAATACTTTAGATACTCATACTCTTAAAATTAAAAACATTGAAAAAATATCTTTGCATTTTGTAATATTATGAAGATGTACAAACAAAAGGAGAACAAACAACGCTAAGCATAATTCCTCCTGCCGACAGATTCGCGCGGGACGTCCAAACATTGCCCAACCACTTCTACTTCTCAGACTACGAGCGGCACAACGCTGAAATTGCGGCTTTTCATCTCGACCGGTAAGATTATAACATAATAGCTCAAAAAAATATTTCGTTTTGTATAAAAACTAAGCTTCATAACAATTTTTCACAATTTTAGGAATACTGTTTTTTTAGTTTTAAGGTTTATTTTAATTTTTGTCAGAATTACTTATACCAACCTATAAGTAATTTTCTTAATAAGTACTGAATGGTTTTTGTCTACTAATATGTTAAAAACAGTTTATTTAGCAAATATATATATTTCGTAGAGAAATATGAATTTTACTACATAATATTCTAAAATCTCAGACAGCCTCCTCATTTTAAATTAATTTCGGCAAACTGTAATCTTTGTCAAAGCTATTACGCCTTCTGAATTACTAATGTGATGCTCTCTTGATACATATTATATATTTGAAATTTCATTAAGTCCAAGTTTATTTAATATAATATATAATATATTTATCTTGTATATACTGTCTGTTATTGTTGAAAAATAAGATTTTTAACCTATAGGCTATAACTCTTAAGTTTATAATATGCACATAATTTATTATAATTTACTAGCATTGCCCGTGGCTCCGCCCGCGTTCAGATGACCAAAAAGCAAATTCTTAGGTTTTACATATTAGTATATCAACTCTTACAATGCAGTTTTTGTATTTTTTCTCAGAAATGAGATATTTTGACGCGGTAAAAAGTATCCTATATATTGACCCGGATAACCAGCTATCACCATATCAAATTTCATCAAAATCCCTCCAGTGGTTTTTCCGTGATGCGGTAACAGACAGACAGCAAAATAAAAAAATGATAGATTCGGTCTCTGTATCGATAATAAGGTCTATTTCAATAAGATTTTCCAAAAAATATTTAATGTACAGATTCGGCTTAGTTACAATTTTATTATATGTATAGATTTGATTCAAAATCCATATGTACATAATAAACATACATATATCCCATATAAATGTACGTACTACATACATAGATATAGAAAGATCAGAGAGAAATATCTAGCTCTATATCCATTGAGGAAGAGATAATAGCTAGGATACCGTATAATTAATTGGTGATGTTTCATAGGTACGAGTACATGCTCGTTTGTACATACACTACGTGACGTATAAAGACATACGGTAAATTGCGTTGTCGCTTAGTATGATTTTGAAGATCGAACTTATTTACAATTATATAAACCCTCCACGACCGTGGACACGCCGGCGTGTCAGTTAACAATAGATTTCTCAGAATTTTAATTAATTTCTTAGAAATTTACCTGGAGGTGTTAAATATGTTTTTTAAGGTATATTTGAACCGATAAAACTAAATATACACACGTACACAGTTTATATTATATGAGTTTATAGAAAGTGCCTTAACAGCAATACTATAGACCTTAAATTGACTTTATTTACTATAGACAAATAATTGAGTCAGTTAAATTAAAATGCTCAAAGAAGGTTTCATATAATTACATTAATTATTTCATTGATGACAGTTATTGTTAGAATCCCAGTTCATATTACAGAAAATGACATAGCTGTAGTAGATGTCACTTAGCAGTTAATTAATAGGTAATATTCCACACGTAATAGCACACTACTAGCAAATGCGAAGGCAATTATAAACCATGTAAAACTAATTAGGGTTGTCGCATGGGATAATTATGCGATCGTATGGTTAACCACTTTTACTTAGAATAGGAAAGCAACTTTGTATGGTTAAAGAGGTACAATTCACACGCCAATAAATGGTGTAAATTATTTAGTAGCGTTTTAGTATTTTTTTAAAGTATGAAATTGCAAATGGATTTTTTTTTCTAAATATTTACACATGATGGTAGCAATAATAATAGAATAATAGTAAGAATTAAATATAAATGTCAAAAAATACTTATTCTTATCATTACTTTAGCAAACATTCAGTTTAATGTAAACATTTGTACGGCGAACACACATGTTGACATGTCTAACAATAAATAAGGAGAATGTTTGTGACTCATAGCGTAGTGCGTTACACCTAATTCCCTACAATCAAGGTTCTTGAGTAATCCGGATGTAAAAATTTACACAACTAACTCTTGAACGAGGATATAATATTTCCGTCAAGTAATGCTGGTAGCGGGAAGAGTCTATTGTTGTTGAGATGATTTAAATGGCGATATAAAATTACTAAAAATATATTATGAAGTTTTTATTATAAAGATCTTACTTGTATTATGAATCTCATCATAGACTAAGGAACAATTTAGACAGAGTGTCATAGAGCTAAACATGAAGCCAAACAGTAATGTTTTAAAATAGTATACAAATGGCAATTTCAATTCAGTTTTCTTCTTAATGGTTTCAAATCGTGCCAGTTGTGCACAGATTACTTCGCCAATGTCACGTAGAATGGACAAAAGACGAAGAAAATGGGCAATAAAACAAAATCAATAAGATAAATTATATTGTAATGTGTTAAAGAGGGAGTACATCCTTAATAAACTCCGATCCTATAACAAAAGACAGATCAATTAATATGCATAAAAACCTTAAGTAGAGATAAGTGATTAGTGAATTCTAGTAGTTTTATAAGAAATGTTAGGCTATAATCTAATTTATTACACTATTAACATTAATAAACAGTTAACATTAATGGGACAGGGGACTTTTAGTGGAAGGACAATAAGTAGGATGAACTATTTGCATTGTGTTTATTATTCATATTTATTTCTCAAAAATTGTAAATTACAAGTAATTTAACTATTACATATATAAATTTACCCTTATTATTTAAAGTATAGTAGCATAAATGGCAAATTACTACAACTAAATTGATATTTATTTTGCGGGACACCGTCTAGATAATACTTTAATCTAAGATAACATATAAGACTAGCGGACCCGACAGACGTTGTCCTGTCTACACGTCTTTAATTTGAAAATTTCAAACTTTTTCTAATAATTTTTTTGATGAAAATTATTATTCAAATTGTGAATCTAAACCATTCCCAGATCCCCTTGAACACACACAAAAAATTTCATCAAAATCGGTCCAGTCGTTTGAGAGAAGTTCAGTGACATACACACTCACAGAAGAATTATATATATAAAGATATATTGTAAGCAGTACACATATCTTCAATAAATGCATATTCTCAACCAGGATACTCGGCTTCCGTCGAGCGATGCCAGTCGTGGGTAGAGTTCTCAATATGACAACTGAAATTTATGATGTCACTGAAGGCGACATAATAAAGACGTTCTTCGTATCCCCTGCAAATAATTTCTGCTTCCATGGAAAGTGTTCGTATTACTGTGACACTGGACATGCTATTTGTGGCAACCCTGACATGTTGGAGGGCAGTTTCGCCGCTTTTCTACCGACCGCAGATTTGGCAGAGCGTAAGGTGAGTTTTAGTATAATGTTTTTAGTTTTGAATTTAATATTACACATATTTAAAAAACATATTAGTTTTTTTTGGGCTTTATTAATATATATTGTATTTTTTTTTTAAATTTTTATCTTTCAATACATTTAGTTACATTAAAAAATTTACGTCTTGTAACTTATATGTCAGACAATTAACTCGTGTTTAGGTATATATTGACTTACTGTACCATATGTCTTGAACTTATAAGGATGCGTATTCCTTTATGGTAGTATTATATTATCTGCACTAAACCTATAATTTAGTCATGTTCAAAATAGCTCGATTTTGTTTTAAGATAATAATTAAGGTCTTTATAGAAAATACTTGATACCTTTATATGTATATTACAAGGTTTAAACGATTTTATGTTATTTTTTTTTTGAAATGGTGTTTATGGGTTTGTCCTTCTTTTATGTAGCTACAGTGGTGGGATTGACGTGATTTTGTGCATAAAAATAGTTTATAGGCAGTAAACAGGTGGTCCTAGTATATTATGTAATATAGTTCATGTGGGATATGGTTTTCCTAGAAGACATCTAGCGACTTTTCTAATTTAAGCGTTTTACCTTGTAGTATAATAAAGTTAGTGAAATATTGAAAAAAATTATTAATAATTTATCTGTAATATTATTATTTTAATTATATTGATAAGTAAATTCTTAAAACAATAAGATCATATTTTAAATTTTAGGTTTGGCGACATCCGTGGAGAAGGTCTTACCACAAACGAAGAAAAGCGCAATGGGAATTGCAATCTGATTATTGTGATACGGTAAGTGTTTATTAAATCGGCAAGGATTATGTAATAGAATTAAAATCTAATCTATTAAAAAAAAACAATGTTGTTGTTTTATAAAAATATTATAATTTTCACAAAATCTCGAAAAAAGCTAAATAAAAGTGAATGAAATAATTTGTTTTGCGAGTTTAACTTTTTAAATTTTTGTTTGACTATTTAAATATGTTATATTTACAACGAATATAACATATCAATATATGATGAATATCATCATCAAGAAATGAATGATATCAAGGCAGTAGTAGCCCAGTGGTAACGCGCTCGTTTGGTAAAACGTAGTGAAGCGGGTTCAAATCCCGGTCTCGAACCTCTGATATTTTCATGTGCGAATCATTTCTAACATGATTACCACTTGCCTTACGGTGAAGGAAAACGTTGTGAGGAAACCTGCATGTGCATATTGAAGAGAGGCCCCTGCCCATCAGTGGGACGTTAAAAATGGCTGAATACATAACATATCAACAAATAATGATATTGAAAATAAATAATGTTAATCAAATGAAAGACATATATATGTTTTATTTATTAGGTTCGATCGACCCCGCCGTACGACTCCGGGCGTCGTTTGTTAGATTTAATGGACATGTCCATATTCGACTTTCTTACCGGGAACATGGACCGACATCACTACGAAACGTTCAAGTTTGTATTTAAATAATTAAATATACTTGCAGAATTAGCTTAAGAATTTGCTAATTAAATTATGGAATAGGTGTATAACTATGGTAAACAATTATAAGCCTGCTCTAGAAAATTTATATCATAAAGTAGACGTTTGCCAAATTATAATAAAAAATAATAATCTTTGCGGGCAGTGAATTGGATGCAAACCTAACACATTTTTTTGATATACCTACATAGGTTTATCTATTGGATAAAGGTATATACGCATGACGACACGTTTGGCTCAGTGTGTAGCGACCCTACTTGCTGTGCCAGCGGTCGCGGGTTCGAGTCCCGCTGGAGGCATTCATTGTGTGGTGAGCACGAATGTTTGTACTCCAGTCATGGGTGTTTATATTTATAATATGTATGTATTTAAAGTTTATATATGTGTAGTGTATCAACTATCTGGCATCCATAACACAAGCCTCGTAGCTTACCATGGAACTAGATGGTGCTATATATTAATGTCCCAAAATATTTATAAAAAAAAAATTAAGCGTGGGTGGGTCTGTTCGCTCACACCGCGATATTTTTCTTACTTTAAGCAATTTGTTACCCGTCATACAGCATACGAGTACTTCTAAACAAAAAGACTAACTCGTTTAATTTAAAGAGGAATTTACGTGTACGTGTACATAATACCTATTGTATCGAAAAATTAGAGTTTTCTTTTAATTCATATTCTCTAGATATATTCTAATAATTCAGAGATTGAACTGTCTATATAGAAATTAAACATGTCTGTTTGTGCCTTCAGAACCCACTCTCTGTGTTACTCTCGAATTAACTTTTTGATTTGAGAGTAACACCGGTTACGTTCAAATCAACTGTCTATTTTAGAATGTTTGGTAACGACACATTCACGCTACACCTGGACCAAGGCCGTGCCTTCGGTAAGGCGTTCCACGACGAGCTCAGCATCCTCGCACCGCTGCTGCAGTGCTGTCTCGTCAGGCACACCACGCTGCTTGTGTTGCTCAAGTAAGAACTATACATACACAATATACATACATACATCCATACATCCTTCTATAGACATATTTTTATAAAAACGCTTAAAATGACAAAACTCTATAAAAAGTTCTTATATATTTAAGACTGTATAACACATACCATACCTTAGGCGTTAATTAATGATCAGTTATGTACTTCAAATATGCTCTTAACCTAAATGCTCCATTGAAGAAAATATCGTTTTTTTTTAAATAAAATACGTATTTTTAAACCTTATACTACCATCATAATGCGATTGTTAAACTATTACTAAATTCCTTCTAGACACCACAACGGCGCTCCGCTATCGAAGGTCTTGAGAGAATCTATGAAGGCGGACCCCGTATCACCCATCTTATGGGAGCCGCACCTTGCTGCGCTTGACCGTCGTGTCGTCATAGTGCTCGACGCCATAAGAAAGTGTATAGACAAGTCAGAAAACCCCATACAGAATGAAGTTAGTGACTTCGTATGACAGGTGACGTATAGTGATAGTTAATACATTGTGATATTGATCTATGTACGGCATTTGGCGGTGTTGATGTTCCTAGGAATGGATGTATGGCTCTTCTCTACAAAATACTAAATATCCTGTTAAAAATTCTTGTATATTATATCTGTTTTAATATAATAAATATTTAAAAGTTTGATTATGCAAAAATGTATCGAGCTTTCATCGTTACGCTACATAAAAGTATATTTATTTATTCAATAAAAGTATAAATTTTAAACTTTGTACAAATTAATAACTCTTTGAAAAATATACACTATCATAAATTATGTTTATATCATCCTATATAACAAAATGAAGCAAGAGATAGGCTACAAACATCCATTTCCTATAAATCCTAAATATGAGCTAACATACCGTCATGAAAGTCATGCGAAATCAATGTGATATAGAGGAGGAAAAGGGATGGTGCAATTAATTAACCGCTAGTCGAAGTGATGTTTTCCTGATCCATAGAGATTGTAAAAAAGATTTTTAGTTTGTCTATAGTACTACGGTATATAACTATGTTGTCTATTCTTAATGATAAAATTCAGTAATTTTTTTTTGATAATCACGGGTAAAATATTTGTATGTAATTCATTAAAAAAAAAGTTTTGTTTATAAAAGTCTGGGATTAGAATAACGAAATTTATGTTTTTATCCAATACATAAAATTATTAATGAAATACTTATTAGAAAACTAACCTCAATGTATATAAAATTTTGTAAAACAAAATATTGCTTCATTTTATAATGAAGAATTAAGAGATTATTCTCGTTCTATAAACATTTTTATTTGCCACAAATATTAGGAACGATTTTGAGACTATATATAATAAATAATACAAGGTATAAATGGACACAAAAATATTTAGTACAATCTTAGCAAATATCAATGCACTTTGACAGTCCATAGAAATGAAGGTCAGGATATACTAGACATGTCGACTAGACACTAACATACGTATCCCGTAAGGAGTCGCTGGCAATAGTATAGTAAAAGGTTTCGTACAAGTCTTTGGTTCAAAAAGACTATTAGAATTAAGATTTTGTGCCAAAGATCGTCCAAATTAAATCTTGAACTTGAGAAAACCATTCCACTGAAGTGTGCAGCCATGTTGAATGCCAAAAAATGAGAGAAAATAATAAAAAAAAATGTTGTACAAAAACAATTTGTGAGTTTTAATTATAATTTGTATGTATATTATGAACGTTTCAAGTCTGACACGTAATAACGCGTGAGTTTGTACATAATTATGCAATTTTTAGTTTGTAAGCATAAATAAGTTTACGTTGTGAATCTGTTACCATAGCTCGAAGCTCAATAAGACATATCATATTGAACGGTTTTACTGCCGGTGATATTTATATATACATGCCTGTTGTATTTTTGTTATATTTTAAAGTTTTATTTTACCTATGAGACATCGGATTGCATGCATTTGATAAAATATGGATATTAAAATTTCTTTTATACTACATACAATATACTTATAAAAATACCGTATTTTGATGTGTTTATTACATTTTAGAATTTTAATAATTGATCCTAAATCCTAAAATGAAATTAATTATTGCTTATTTCTTTTGTCCTTTGATTTTTGCGTACAGTCTGAAGTTATAAAACAATTAACTATAATTTATTCTATACTGTGGGATGTTTATTATTTATATATATTTTATTTTCGTGTGTACTGTTTAGAGCTTATCATGCCAAAATGTATCTACCAACTTAAGCTAATAATTAAAAAAATATTAAGTTTATAAGAATTTATGTTGAAATCTATATGTAATATTATGTTAAGTAGGTATTTTATAAAGAGATAAATGTAATTTGGTCAGATTTAGCCATGTTTTATTTTGAGCTTTTTCACTGTTCTAATAAAATGAAAAGATTTTTTTAATTCCCTAGGTAGTTACATTTTGACATTAAATAAATACGTGATAAATAATCATAAAATAATTAAATAATCACGCTGATCTCAAGATGTTCTATTGCGTTTAATATATTTATTTATATTAATTGAGAACCGTCATAAAAATTCATAATTTTCTTCTGTGCATTAATATTTTACGAATTCTTCGATTTTTCCTAAATCTATAATAAGTACCTATATAAAAGCTTGAAGGCTAAACACGAAATGTAAATTGTATTAGATTTTTTTATTTATGTTGTTCTATCTTAGTAGATAAAATTATTTGCTTATTAAATTCCTACTTAAATTTATTTAATATTGTATCGTAGAAATGGCGGGGTCAGTTAGAGGCTTAAATGCAGTTGAAATAGACTTGCCAAAGATGTACCTACATTGTTTATGTAAAGACGCCACTGTAACGTGTGTCTGTTGATTGTTAATAAACTATGAAAATATAAGAATCTAGTTTTATTATGTCTTTCCTTCCACTTGCCCAAGTAACAACCTATTTAACATGTGTAATTAAGTATTGATGCATAAAGTCATAAAAATATTTTTAGTATATGATAATAATATGAAGACTGAGGTAAGAATATTTGTTCAATAGTATTTTGAGATATTATTACACGTTTTTGTGAATTTATTAATTTAAGCTTGCATTGATAGAATGTTCTTTAAGCGTTTTAGGATAAAAATCTGTGATAATTAGTAATATATTTAAAACTAGCGACTCACGCTCGCTTCGCTCGAGTTCGTCCCTAGATTGTTTCCTCACACAAATTTTCATCCCCATTATTTCTGAATCTAATTAAAAATGGGGACCAAACGACAAAAGACGCAAAATTAAAGTATAATAATAACGTAAAATAATATAAATTGAATGTATTTGAATGTATTTATTTATTTTATTTATTTATTCATTTATCAAATACAAAAACCATTTATACAAATCTAAGACACTCGAAAATAACACACAAAAATAAATTATTCGAGAAATAAGAAGAAAAGAATACATTAGTAACAGGAATTATTTCTTTTTAACTAAAAACATAATACCTATACAATAAAAATAAATGCCTATATTTATTATTTCGAAATATGACACCTATATTTTTTTATGTTACCTTGATGGCTCGCTTGATAATGATCATACATACAGGCCTAGTCTAGTAACGGCATTGCCCATAAAAGGGGCGACATGCTGCTGTAAAATATTTGGGAAGACATTTTATAAAATTTGTGAATATTGTATAGTGTGTAGTTTTTAATTATTACGTTACTAAAAAAAATTTAGTAAATTTATTTAAAAAAAAAATGAAACATAAGTAAATAATACCTATAAACCTAAGTCGAAGCACTTTTAGCTGTTTTGGAGTATTAAAAAAAAAAGAAACGTGAATGTGGATTTATATTTTATATAAGTTTCAATGACCTATTTGAAAAAAGCCGTAAACAAAAAGATATTTTCAAAAATAAAATCTATAAACCGAATTATATGGTATAGGGATCTTGGGTCAGTGATCCTTGACGTAATCACATAAAGGTCACATAAAGCTGAAGAAACACAAAGATATGGGCGGCCGCTATAAAACGTGAATATGAATAGCAAAATATTTTGCCATAACCTTTTACGGTCTTTTTGTTGCATATTAACAAACAGAATTGTTGTTTTTTTGTTTTTTCATACAACTCAGCCCACATTTTTTTCTTGGTAAACTGGTAAAAATCATGCAGAAGGAGTTTTAGCTTTTGTAGGTTCTCTTTTCTACAAATACTCAATTGCTGTAATTTTCTGTTACTTTAAAAATAAGTATTCATAATGAGAATTTGCTAGATTGATAAAATACATTTTAAACAATATGCTCCCAATCTTACCTTACGCGTTCTCCTAAAATCATTTAGTATGTGCACTATTATCAATATATTAGTCATACAAAAATGAAATAACATTTAGAAATAGTAAAATATTTAAGTACTAGATATTTATTTTAAAATAAAAATTTATATTACAAATGAAATATGCTCAAGTAAATATCTAAAACACAAATCAATGCAAGCACAGTCATCAATATTAAAAATACAAATGAAATCGAGTCTGTTTTATTTAGATTTGTTTAGGATACCGTTGCTTCACGGTACAATCTGTTACATTGTATATTCAGATGATCATGTCAATTCCCACTCGGGGAACCATCTTCTGAATAACAAGAGCATAAGAACGAAAGAAATTCTCGCGTAAGGAAAATTGTCAATTTTTCAAACGGCCTACGTATCTAGGACGATTATATCTTAAAAATCTGTTAATATAATACATATATATATATAATGTTCAGATGACCAAAAACCAAATTCTTAAGTTTTACATATTAGTATGCTCTTACATTGCAGTTTTTGTATTTTTTCTCAGAAATGAGACATTTTCCCGCGGTAAAAAGTATCCTATATGTTGACCCGAATAACCAGCTACGACCATACTAAATTTCATCAAAATCCCTCCAGTAGTTTTTCTGTGATGCGGTAACAGACAGACAGACAGACAAAAATTCTAAAAACTATAGATTCGGCCTATAACTATAGATAATAATGTCTATTTCACCAAGATTTTCCAAAAAATATTTAATGTACAGATTCGACTCAGTTAGAATTTTATTATATGTATAGATGTATATACTTACATTTACGTACTTAAAAGAAATCTTAAAAAACTTACTAGTAAAAGTAACTACTAAGAGTCACACTTAATAGAAATATTTATATTTCAAACAAACTTCGCCAGTTAAATTATCGTAAATTATTAACAATTTCTTTATAGACATGTTTTAATAAACTCGTTGGCTTAATTTAGTAAATCGGATTTTCTAATTAAGAACAAACATTACCGTCTCAAGAATTGTTTGGATAAAAGAGCTATATTAAAGGAATATTTTAATAATTGAAGGGCGCCATCCAGATTCGGCAAAGCGAATTATCGTGAAACGCGACGACAGTTGTTTTGAGTTACTTACAATTTGCTCGCAATTGTTAGCAAATGGTAATTATAAACATTTTACAGAACAATTCTAC